GACGGTGTCCTCCCTGAAGGCCAAACCAATGGGGCCTCCCAAACTGTGAGCTATATGAACCTTTTCTCTTCAGAAAGGGAGTCCCTCTGGTGTCTCACTGTAGTACTGCAAAGCCCGCTAACACCCTCCCCAGGACGGGCCTGCCCTTTTCATCCATCCAGCCTTGTCTCCAGGGGTGAGCCCAGGGAGTCAATAAGTGCGTGAGGGATACGCACCCTCAAAGTGCTGGTGGCATTTACAAACCTGTTTAAAGAAGAGTGTCCCCACAGTGGGGTGTTAAGGAGGGAGTGACTTGGAGTTGGCACATGACTTTGAAGCCTGAGATGGTTCTGGGGTTTGTTGGGATTTCTGTGGGAGGGCTCTATGTTTTGTCCGTGAGGATGCCTCTCTTCTCCATCTTGGCGCGCGTCCAGGCTTTGCGCTGCGTTCTGCCCGTCAAAGACCATCTGAGAACCCCCACACACACCCCCGCAGCAGCACAGTTTTCCGCTGTATTTGGCTCCACAGCTGAATCTTGATCTACGGTTAACTGAGTACCTAGTGTGTGCCAGGCACCGCCCTAGGAAGTCGGCCTGTGTCGGCTGGATCAGTCTTGTGGGATCGGGGAGCCAGTCCAGCCAGTCTGACTTCAGGGTCACTGCCTGTGACCAGTTCAGTCCACCACACTGCCCACCACACCACCCCTTGTAAAGAATCCTATGATGTGATTTCTATTTTGTTTTGTTGAATATATGATTTAGAAACATTGACTATAATTTCAAACAATATGCATTTTTATGTGTTAACTCTGTGTTCCTTGTTCACCTTTGCATGACACTTCAAATAGGGCTGTGGTTTGCCTCAATTCTGTATGCACACCTAGAAATAATAACTTAAACAGCATCCCTTCACCTGGCCCTGGCCTGCCATTCAGTGACAATAACACACCATTACTGTATCGATTAATTTTACTTGACTTTTTAACATATTCCCTTTCTCCCAGTTTATTATTTTCTTGGATATGAGCCCAAAACAAGCAAATCTATTACTTATTGAAGAAAATATTTACATCAAACTATCAAGGAAGTAGAACCAGGTGTCAAATGTTGAATCTGAATGATAGGAATACAGGGAACTTTCTTTTGATCACTTTTTTTCTGTTCCTTTTTATATAATCACACTGTAAAAATATGTAATTTACCCTACATGTAAAAAAAACTCTGTACAATTACGGTATTAGTTAAAAATAAAACAGACTGAAATGCCCACAGAAGCCTTTCTGCACTGCAGAACCACCAGGGCTGGTCCGAGTGCCAGCCCACATGCAGAGGCCCTCCGACCTTCTTTTCACACCTCAGACCACAGCAGAGGCAGAACCAGGGATCCCAACATGTCCATCTGTCCAAGGGTACCGTTATCTAACGACAGTCCAGAGAATGGAATCGGGCGTCCTGATGCCCTATCCTCTCTTTGTTCCTCAGATCCCAAACGAGCCAGCTTCCTGAAATTTTCTAAAGAGATTTTATGAAGCTGGCATGGTGGCCCACACCTAGAATTCCAGCTCCTTGGGAGGCCAAGGCAGGAGGATCCCAAGTCCATGGTCATATGGCAACTTGGTGAGACCCTGTCTCAAAATTTAAAAAATAAAATAGCCTGGGATGGAGCTCCGTGGTAGGGGGGGCCCCAGGTTCAACTCCCAGTACTTCCCAACAAACTAAAGGCTTCCCAGAACAGTGAGCTGGGAACTAACTGACCATTAACTCCCACCAGGAGGACCTGAAGGACCAGCTTCCGCACACAGCTGGGTCTGTCTGGGAACCGACTCTGAACCCTCCTGGGTGGCCAACTCCTCATCCAGTGCATCTCCCCACTCTGCCCATCAGAGGCTGGGCCTTATTAGTCAGGCCGGAATCAACGTCCCTGGACTCCCACGCTGTAAGCACTGCCCCCTCCTCTTGCAACAGCAGCCTGCCAGGGCAGGAATGAGGTCAACCTTATGGGTCTTTCTGCACAGTGACCCTGGTTGGAACAGTCCCCTGGTGCAGAGGAGCATGCGCTGTCCTTCCAAGGACAAGCCCAAGCCCGTGCTGGCTCTCCAGAGCCTGGGGGCACTGTAGGCTGGATGCCAGGCGCCCCGGCAGGGCCTGAGCAGCGTCACGAGAATGCCGAGCTGGGGTCTGTTCTGAACATGGTTCCCTAGGTGCTTCCTCTGGGCTCCCAGGCTCTCAGAGGTGTCCTGGGCACACTGTCCTGCTGCCCTCTTGGTACTCAGCAAGAAACCCTTTTAATAAAAATGTCCAACATTCTGGGGATCTTAAGTCCCTCCCCTGGCTCCTCAGAACCTCAGCTTGTTTAGCCTTAAAAGTCAGCAACTGACTCAGCTGGTCTCTGAGGACCCTCTGGCCCTAAAGTCCAATGACGAGATACATCTGAGGAAACCCTTGGACACAGGAAACAGGCACTGGAGTTTTCTTTCTTGAAACTTGGCTGGTTATCTATGCTCTAGTGGGGCCAGGGGCCTTGAGTGGGGCTGCCTCAGCACTGGACATGACTTCTGAGGAGGCTCCCAGTCCACTGCATGCCTCAGAAACTGGTCTCACTCAGGTCACTGGAAATTTGTTTTTTGCAAAACTCAGTAAACACTTGTAATGTAAAATAAAAGCAAATTGAAAAGCACAAGGAGCATATTATGAAAAATCAACAAAGCAGAAATATACAGAAAATCATGTGCATATATCAACAGTTACAAATATCATTTTGGGGGTGGGGTTATTCTGCTAGCTTTACTTCATTTTGGTTTTTTTTTTGGAAATGGGATCAAATGAAACACATGACTCTGCTTGCTCCACTGAATAATGTGTGTTGGAGTTCTTTGCTGCGCTGACCCATGGGCTTTAACTGCTGCCCAGCAGATACACCAAGTTTTGTTTGCTTCTTTTTGTTAACCACTTTCTCCCTGCTGGACATGTAGTTTGCTTCTAGGGGTTTTGCTCTTGCAAAAAAACACTGCAGAAAATTACCATTTTGCTCACCTACTGGATAATTTCTCTAAACTGGATATTTAGAAACTGAATTATTGGGGTTTTGGTAATGCATGTTTTACATTTTTTAAAAATTTTACAATTGCCTGACAATATGGGGGGAATCCTGCGTGTGCACAGGAGCGGCCGGGGGAAGCCAAGTCCTGGTGCAGGAGAGCCAGCTGGTGCTGGAAGCAGAGGCCAGAAGCAGGTGGGGAAGCACTGTGAGGGAGGCCACAGTGCAGTGTCCACGAGGCAGGGCTGAGGCACGCTGGGCCCTGGTTCAGGCTGGGCCTGGGGTCGCAGAGCAACTGCGCCTTCTGGATGTATGGCAGGGCAGAGCTTCGCTGGATGCTCCCAGACCGCATGTCCAGAGCAGAACCAAAGCCCCAATCTTCCTGCAACGTCCCTGGCACCCTCTGCTGACGAAGCTGGACACCGTGTCTCCATCTCAGAGCAGGTACTGGAGGGTGGACCTGGGCTGAGGTAGTGCATTGCCCGCTGGATAACTGGCAGGATGGTCAGTGGTGGGTCCACTCCTTCCTGGGGGCTGCAGAGGGTGATACTCTAGCTCCTCCGTCAGCTTCTGGAGGGAGGGGGTCCCCACGTCCCCTCCTGGACAGCAGAGCACAGTGCGTCCACTCCACTGACAAGACGTGCCTCTTCTCACCGGGGTGGGCCCTCGAGTCCCGGTCCTCCATGCTCCAGGTCTGGTCTGAGCTCCGCTGTGGCCCGCTGTGCCCTTTCTTCCTGGTCCCTGCTTGGCTCCGGTGAAGCTGTTGTCTTGTCCCTCCTGAGGCCTCTTCTGCCCACGCGTCCCCTCAACCGAGGGCACAAGTGCTGCTTTCCATCCCTCTCAGCTGACCTCGAAGACACCCCTGCAACGAGTGGTGGTCAGTTCTGTGGACAGGGAAGGGAGCCCTAGAGGAGAGGCAGGCACTCCAGGCCTGGCAGCTGGTAAGGGACAGCTGGGATTAGCGCGTGAGGCTGCTTAACCCATCCCGGTGCTGGGACCAGCAGGGCTCACCAGCCTCTTCGGACACCTTCAGGCCGCCTGGCTTCTCGTCACTCCTATGTTGTCTTCTCAATTTCCAGGTCACTGACTGTGTTCTTCAGGTTGTGTCCTCCTGGCCTCACCGCTGGACACTCTCTGGGATCAGCCCCCACAGCCAACCCAGGCCTGCATTTCCAGGTTGGGCTTTCTCTGGCTGTAACCTGGAGCCACCGGATTGCGGTTCATTGTTGCTCTCAGACAGGTGGGACACAAGCCGAGACCCTCCAGTCTGGACGGTTCTGTTTTTAGCCCCCTACCTCATCATTTCTTCCCTCCCAGCCCTGCCCAGAGGGACTGAGGACAGGACAGGGAGGTCTCTCAGGGGCAGGCATGCTGGCAGGGGGTGGGAAGGGAGAGCACAGACCCTCCGTGAGACCTGCTCTCTCCATCTGCACTCTGGGAAGCCATGAGCCAGCCTCAGGTCAGCTGTTGGGACAGTGAAAATCCCACCGACGTCCTCCTTCCCTCTCTGGCTTCTGGGCCCACCCTTCCTCCTCCAGACACACCGGCTCCTGAGCCCCCTCCTCCACCCCACTCCTTCCTCTGCCCCTCTCTCCCTCCTTTCCTTCCTCCTGCCCAGGCTTTACTGGCAAAATCAAACCAAATAACAGAGGAATGAGGAGCAAGTAAACAGCCACCCACCTTCCCTCCAGGCCCTGGAAGCAGCTTCCTCACCTCCGCTGACAGCCTCATGTTTCAAAGTGCCTGGCCCTCATTCAAGGCCAGCGGCAGTGGCCACAGAGTTATTGTGCCGAGATGAAGGCAAATCCAGGCAGTTTCTATTTTTAGGTGCAATTGTGTTTCTGGAAAAGCCTGTACATCCCATAATAGGAAATCCTGAGAGTGTGAAGACTGTTTCCTGCCAGTTGAAGCACTGTTGTCTTTGGCTGTTCTGACCACGGCAGAAAACCTCGAGTACAGGGCGGAGGTGGAGGGCGGGGCAGGCAGAACCTGCGGCTGGGGCTGGTGAGTGAGGAGAGGGACGGACAGCCCAGACAGCCACAGGGGTGGTCCAAACTTCGGTGAGTGCGGGGCCTGGGGAGGCGCAGCGGAACCTACCCCCTAATCTGAACACTTTGAAAAATAGTTCAGCTGTGTGCTTGTCATAGGAAATGGTACCTGGTGAGGTGGCTCTCTTAGTGGCCCTGCTGGAGGGCAATGGCCAGTCTTTGGTGACAGTGCTGGTAGAGATGGGGCTGGTGTTGGCCAGGTTAGAGAGTCACAGGTCCACTTATTTTAAAGTGAAACTGTTCTCAACATGTTCTCCCCAAAGGTCCAGAAGGTCCTGAAGCCATGTATCTCACCCTTCCACGCGCACAAGTCACCTGAGACCACGCTCAACGAGGATTCTCATTCAGTAGGTCCAGGACAAGGGCCTCTGCACTTTGCCAGAAAAGTGAGTCTCTCTAGCTGCTCACTGTGCCCTCCTCTGCACAAGCTCAGGGCTGAGGCGTCTTTCCGCTGCTCCACGTTCGGAGACTCCTTGTGGGTGGCGTGGGTGGCTGTGGGGAGACCCTGAACAACACAGATGACTGCAGCTGCTCTGTGCACACCTCAGGTGTCTTCTCTCCCCTTCCTCTTGTGGGGAGCTGGTCTGCCCCAGCAGACAGTGGCCAAGGGCGTGACCGCTGGACCACTATGAGACTGATTGGGACCTGGTGACAAGTGGTTCTGTGTGCTCCATGCTGTTGGGTTCCTGAGGGTGTATTGGCCTCACCATCACTGGTGTCCACTCAGATCCTACGTCCAACAGCCTTAAGAGATCCTCTTTCCTTTCCCGGGTGTGGCATTACTGAGGGAATGGCCAGCTTCTCTGGCAGGAGTTGAGGAAGAGCTGCCACGTGTGTGTGTGTGTGGTGTGGTATGTTGCAGGACCCTTCCTCAAGGGCCTCCTTCCTTTCAACCCGCGAGCCCTGGACCGTGGAATGGATTCATCTAGCACTGGGCGAGGGATTGCAGGTTTCCAGTGCAGTGAGTGGTGCCTGGCTTCTGCTCATTTGATCGTGATCTTCTTGATTGTTTATATAAGGTGATACTCTCACTGGTTGCCCATGATCTCACCCTGGCACACCTTGGCTACCAGCCATCACCAGGGGTCCCTGAAGGTCAGACCTCCAGCTTGTCTTTCTGCCTCATTTTCCATTATGAATCATGACAATTACTTCTGCCTTTCCTGTGCTGGTCCAGGGCCTCCATGTAGCCTTTGTTATTCCAATAGCACAATCTGCATTGCCTCTGAGCCCAATTCAAAGGCAACATCTCCTACTGGCAATATTGACCTCCCTAAGACAGCCACCACAGAGCCTCCCAGGGAAGCAGGTGTCTCCCTAACTAGGGGACTCCTTAGTACCTGAGCAGAGGGTGTGTCCTCCAGGACCTCACCTGAGCCGTGAGAGAGTGCTCCCATGTCAATATCTCTGCCCTCCCCTGCTTGTCTTCCATCCCTGCCTGCCCTGCCTCCATCCTCCGAGCATCCACTCCATCCAGGAGCTCTCATTAGCCAGGGCTGTTGTGGTGAATGACCCCTTTCTTCCTACAGCAGGAACACTCCTTCCCTACCCAAGCCTTTCTTCAACTTGGCCATAATTATTGGTAGCAAAGAGGAGAGGCAGGATTGGCTCTTCAGGGCAGCAACATTGTCTGGGGGACCTGGCTCAGGGAGAGCTTTTCCTGACCCCTGGGTGGGGAGAAGTTGCTCATCTCTAGTGGGTGGGAAGGGACTATTTCTGCCAGCCCAGAGGTTCTTGGGAATCTGGGGGTTGAACACTCTCAGGCATATCACCCCTAGCTCCCTGTTTGGCTGCCAGGTCCCACTCCTTATCAGGATCTTCACTGCCCCATAGAGACCCTGCAGGGCTGTGACTTCAACCTCCTTCCTTACTCCAACACTCAGTCAGGACCTAGATCTGACAGTCTTCATGATCTGCAGGAGATGAAAGCATTTAAATGGCGCCATGAAATCTTCTGGCCTTCACACTGTGTTCCAAGTTTATGGTCAGCTGGCTTGAGCCTGTCATCTTCTTTTGGGGTTTCAATTTCAGTTAACTAATCAACTCTGGTCTGTTGCTGCCATATCTCTAAAGTGCCGGCGCTCTTGCATTAGCAGGATGCATCTCCTTCCAGCAAATTCCATCTCAATTCACTGCAGATGACAATTTCACAGAACTTATCTGCAAGATAAGATGAAAAGCTTTCAGAGTCTTTGGAAACTCTGCTTAATACCAGCATTGGGGTCTTGTTCCCTTTGGGCATGTGAGTGATTCCATTCCAGACCCCCATCCCGAGGGTCTCATCCCAGGCCCACTGCTGGTGCCCACCATCCCAGGATGGGTACTCCCTGAATCAGACCCTGACACAAGGATCTGAGTGCAAGGCGTTTAACTGCAAAAGGATCCAGAAAGCACTAGCAGAGATGGAGCAGGGCATGAAGCCAGTACAGGGCATGGTGTCCAGCAGGAACCTCCATGGAAGCCTGGGGATTAACTGTGCTGTTAACACTGTTGAACAGCATCACTGCTGCCCAGGGATGAGGAAACACCTCCTGCCATGGCTGAGCGCTGCTTCTGGGGGCATTCACTTGATGGCAGCCCCAAAAGCCCCAAGCAGAGAACCAGGGGTTCCAGTTGAAGAACTGGCCATCTCCCTGCAGGGGAGGTGACCCATGGTTCCAGGGACACTTTGCTCTGGGATGCCAGGAGTGGCCCCCTGGTGGAAAAATCCCACACAACAGCTCCTGTGGATTAACACTGTCCCTCTGGGTAACAATGCTGCATCCCAGGGAAGAAAACCCGTTGAAAGGTCGCCCCTTAGGTGAAAACTTCAGGCACTGCGGTAGGAAGGTGATTTTGAGATTCAGGATTTTTTGCAGAGCCCCTCAACATATATGGAAGGTACTAACAGCGCTGGCCTGCGTTGTCTTGGCCTGCAGAACACGTTCCCATCCGCTGACCTCATAGCATGCAATGAAGACTGCAGTCTGGGAACCAAGTGACATGCTAGGGTGGCGGCAGACCGGGGGCTCCATGGCGGGCCTTGTGATCCTGTGTCCCTAGGCCAGCCTGTCCTGTGAGCTGCCCCACGCACTCACTGTGAGAGAGCACCTGGGAGACACGTGCACACACCATCCTGATACTGCTCAGAAAGTCTCACACACGGGAAAACCTGCGGACTCTAAGGTGTCCCGAGAGGGAATCAGAGGAGCCCCGAGCACTTGCGGGAACGTCTTCAAGTTAGAAGGCTTAGGGTCCTGATGGATTCCCGACGTCAGCATCACCCAATCCCTGGGATTGGCCCTGCAGGAGGCCCCCGGTCCAGCGGGCATGCAGTGACCTTCTAGGCCCACAAGAGGGAGCCAGTGTGGCGCGGGCAGCTGTCGGCCGCACCCGCAGGAGGCTGGGCGCGGAGCCCAGGTGGGGAAGGAAGAGGTCCTGGGGAGCAGGACAGAGGCCTGAGAGAGACCCAAGCTCCGAGTGACGCAGAGGCGCTGACGTTTGCATTAACCGCGTTTAACGTAAAAACGCGTGCGTGGGGATTCCACGGTTTACTCGCACTGCCGAGTGTGCGTGGTTTTCTGGACTCAGCGGACGAACGCGTGCAGACGCGGAGCGCAGACGCGTGGAGAGCCGAGCGCTGGGAACTCCGCGTGCGCGGCTGCCGGGGAGACGGGCGAGGCTCCCGGCCGGGGTGCCCTGGCCCCCGGCCCCCCCCCCCCCCCCCCGGCCTGTGCATCGCCTTCCCTGTGGTTTCAGCCGCCGCGTGGCTGCCTTGAGCCTGCACCCAGCAGACAGGAATCCGTAGACATCGCCCAAGGGGCCGCGGTTCCCACCGGACTGTTGCGATTCCGCCCTTCAAGGAGAGAAGCCCTGAACGCCTGACGCCGCAAATGAGCTACCGCCTTAACTGTTGGAACTTCACTAGAAACAACAGCGAAGCAGCCATTGAGGTTGCCTCTCAGAAACCTCTATTTAGAGAATGCGTTCTGGGTATCCTAGGGGCATAGCCGTAAAGCAAGGAGAATAAAGTTAATCAAACACCATAGACCCCATATATCTAATTGACACTTTCTCTGTAAACCGCAAGAATCGATGTATTTATTCCAGGAATACCCAAAGCACTTGGCTTAGGAAATCACCTTGAGTCCATTTAGGAGAAATAAAAATAAAATCAATTTATGCCGTGCCTCTTTGGGACTCTAAATATTACTGAAGTGTGTTTATTCATCTGACTTAAGCTGTAGTGACGCAAAGCTTTTCTGGACATTAATCCACCCTGGAAGGATGAAGACTCACCACACCCACTGGAAGACAGGGATGAGCAGGAGCCAGAATCTACCAGCCTGGCGCCTTCACGTCAGAGTTGGAGCTTTCTGTTGGAAGAGGCTGGCCTCTCTAGCTGCTCACTGCCTCCGGGATCATCCTGCTTCCCACACTGCTGACTGGGAGGAAAGCCTGCAGGTGGGGGCCACCTCGACTCACTCTTAGCTTTTCCCAAGGCTGGTCTCCCTGGTCTGCGACCTGGAGGGTGGGAGGCTCCAGCCTCCCGGATGCTTCCCAACTTCCTGCACATCACAAGTGCAGAAAGGGCTAATATTTGTATAAAAAGTTAAAACTAAAAACTAGCACTGGAATTCAGAAGCCTCTCTATGAAGGTTGGTGGAAAAATCCATTGTGTGTTCCTCAGGTGATGGTAAGTATGGAGTTTGCATGGAACTTCCAAAGCAGATCTTTAGCGTTTTCAATGAGGAGCTTGAGTTTGCTTTTTTGCCCCTCATTTGTTTGCATGAGGTTTTATGCACAAGATGACCCCTTGCAACAAGTCCTTGAGACATTTTCATGATGAGGTCTTCAAAGTTTTGATAGTTATCATCACTGACTTTGCATCTGAAGATAAAAATTTTAAGCCCAACTTTATGACCATTCAAAATGTTACAACATTTGAAATTGCACCCAAAGAGAACCTAATTATCCTCCTTCTTGATTCATCAACAGAGGGAATGTGGGCCTTTTCTGTGGTGAGGGGAAAGATGTGGAGTGCAGTAGAGTGCTTTCAGATTGAGTATTTCAAAGCCAGGGGCCCCGCCCTGCGAAAGCACCACTGTGGTATTTAGCTTGCAACTGGAGTGGAAGGATCTGGGGGATTTGGAGACAGAGATTAGGGCGCTCTGAGGGCTGGGGATCCCATAGGGCTTCCTGTCCCCGCTTTACCCACTGGCCACATGGTGGGTCCCTGGACCCAGATTCTCCCACAGCTGCCTATTCTTCGTTCAGACAGGCAGTGCTGCCTCTCAGCTCAGGTGGGGCGCTTCCTGGACTTGCTACAGATCATTCTGCAGGAGCGAACACCAGGGTAACTTGTGCTGCTCTAGGCCCCTGGGCCATCAGGAGGCCTTGGGAAACCGGGGTCTTGGGAGCACTAGGTGCCCTTCAGAGCATCAGCTGGTGCTGCAAACCTCGCTGGGAAGTTGTCTTCTAGGTTGGGCTCAGGAGTGTTACTAACACCACTCAAGCTACTCAGCTAGAGGAGCAGGAAGGCGTCCCAGACCACAGCTCCACAGATATCAGATGCCCGCAGCCAGCTTTGCACCAGGGCCAGGCTCTCTTAGAGATCCCTGAGGTTAGCCACAGCCACAGGGATCTTCTCTAGGGACCTGTCACTACTAAGATGAGACCAACAGCTTCTTTGCTCTTCAAAGTAAATTATCTAAGATTTGTTCCAGATGCATTTTGAACAATAGCATTAGAAAAATTGGTCACCTGGTGTAAAGGAAACACCTCATCTGGAAGTTCAGTTTCTCATGTTGGCAAAGCCAGGCTCTTCCTATCCTTAAACAGACTCCCTTTTATCCTCCAGGGAGATTCTGCTGACTTCTGGAAGCGCTCGTCAATGCCAGGTAAGCTGGGCATGGGAACGAGGGCAAGCATGCCCCTCTGTGGGCAGACTCCACGGCCTTCCGGCCGCCTTTCCAGAGCCCTATAGCCTGTACAGTCCTCGCAGAGGCCAGCTAGTGCCTGGGCGAGCCCAGGATTGGCCGGTCAGGAGCGGCTGTCACCTGCTGCCACTTCCCTCCTATTCTTCCTTCCCATATGGCCTCCCTGTGGGCAGCACAGGTGCCACCTGAGCCCCTGCAGTGTGGGCCATCCCATGCCTTCGAGTGCGGTAACCTGTCCACACCTGCGGGTCCTCACAGGGGGTGACTTGTGTATTATCCTCAGGGAAACACCAAGAATGGAGGCTGGTGACAGGAAGCACTTACGGTGTCCTCCACACATGGTCACCATCAGCAGCTGTTCAGGCAGCTGTGCCACCGTTAACTCTGCATGGCATTGCCCACATGGTTATGTGGCTGGGAATGTCCATGGGAGGTGTCGCTCACCTCCCCGACCCCATCGCTTCTTTAAGGCTCCTTCCCTCAGAGTGCAGCTCCTGGCGTTGAGGAAGCCTGAAGTTGTCCTCACTAGCTGGGTTCCTGTATGGTCTCTGCTAGCCTCTCAGTGAACAGGCTGCTGGTGACATTAGGGTAAGGGCCCCAGGTCCCCTGCCCCAGCTCTCCCATGGCCGGGCTGTAGCCCTTTCCTGTCCTCTCTTGTGGCACCCCCTGGCTCCCTGGTGCTGCAGTGGGAGGGCTGGAGTGGAGAGCTGGTATCCCAGGCCATGGGCAGCCTGTCTGCGATGGCCCTTGGGGCTCCCTTGGGCTGTTGGCGTGCTTGGCCCGGGAGGGTTGCTGAGTCCTGTCCCACCCTGTCCTCAGGTTTTATGATCAGCACCTGGTTGTCAACCCTGCTTCCCTCCCACAAAGCAGAATATTGCTCAATGTGCCTACCCTCTGTCACTGTTGTCCCCTCTGACCCCACAGTATCCCTATCTGTTGAGAGTTAGGCTAGACAGCCCCTTTCAGTCCTTGTGGTCAAGTATCTGTGCTCATCCCAGCCCCCACCTGTGGCCGATGGATGAGCCATGAAGGAAGTTGGGGTGTTCATTGCTAACCACCACCAGGGAGGCTGGGCAGGTGAAAATGCCCCGGGGTACATTGACAAGTGTTGCTCTTTAAAATTGAGAGGTCCACAGCCCTCTGGTTAGCCCCCATTTTATACTGGTTAGTTGTTCACAGCCAACGGCAGGCAGAATGCCAAGACAGCCCAAGACCAGCACCCCAGCCCCAGGTGCTCACCTTGCATCACCCAGGGTGGGAGTAGGTCCCCAATACATGAGCTCTCAGTCCTGTAATTCAGCTACTGATCAATTGGCTGTGAGCTAATAAAGGAGATTATCCCTCATGGGTGTGACCTTGGGAAGAAGGTGAAGTATATGAGATGCCCTCTTCTGGATGCCAAGCCACCCCATGAACATCCGTGGATGGTCAGGGACCTCAGTCCTACCTGCATCTGCAAGGAAGGAATCTTGCCAGTGACCTGAATGGGGCTGGAGGCAGATCTTTCCAGGGTGACCTTCCAGATGAGGACGCAGCCAGCAACACCTCCACTTTAGCCTTGTGAGGTCCCGAGCAGAGGATCTGGCTCAAGCTGAGCTGGGCTCTTGCCCACAGCAGCTGGAGATAGCGGGTCTGCATCATTTTAAACCACCGAGTTTGTGGTGCTTCATGACGCGCCAATAGGAAATTAATACCCTCTGTTCCATCTTGAAATAAAATGCACAGACAACATAATCTACTTATTCACATAAATTTAAAAATATCAACGTATTATGCTAACTACCTTATAAGGAGAAGTAAGGAGACAGTGTTCCTGAGAGAAGCCCCTGTATTTCAGTAGTGCTCCCCAGGCATGTCACCCTAGAAGATCTGTGGAGGAGGCAGAGGTTGCATCTGTCCACTGAACCACCAATGTCAGGGGACAGATTCAGTCTGACCTGGTGTCAAGCACTGTGGATGATTTTCCAAAATCGCTAACAACTGCTGTAAAATTCTGTTCAGGAAAAAGTCCAACCTTCTGTGTGTGTAGTTACATTTCCAAAAATGCCAGTATATGTTAAAATCTTGCAAAAAAAATCATGCTTATGTTGGGTTTTATGTGCCAATAACCATGCACAGATCTCTCACCTACTTTACTGTCCAAGGTGACCTCCACAAGCCTTCCAGTGTGGGGCAGAAGCCCAGCCACTGCGGACCAGGAGCCGCCACCCCCTCCCCCCAGTTTCCAAAGTGACCCTAGGGGATGGTGCTGCTGGAGGGCACCCAGTGGCAGGGAGACATTCAAGTGTTGTTGCACCCAACCCCCATGCTCTCTTTGGTTGTTGAGAAAAGGTTCGTGGTTAAACACATAAAACATTTTCCCGAATAGGCTTTCTAGTTTGTTTGGCAAAATGACAATATTTAAATTAAAAATACTAAAACCCTAAGTGGCGACTGCAAATAAACAAGCCGGCAGTGGCCCCTGACCTCGCACTAGGGCAGAGTCTCAGCAGGAATCTGAATGGGGCAGAGCTGGGGGCCCTGAGCCCTGTGGGCGGAGCGAGGGTCCTAACTCAGCTCTGGGCAGTGGCCAGTAGGGGGGGGGGTGGCAGGGCCACCCAGATGCCAGGCGGTCGCAGCTGCTGCCCCCCGGGGTGCACTGGAGAAGCGCAGCAGCTCTGCCCATGGGAAAGGCAGGGCGGCCTGGAGGCCTGGCCGTCCACCCCAGTGCCTGCCTGCGAGGAGCCCTGCGAGGAGCCCGCTTGGAACAGTACAGTGGGGCGCTTCCAGGAGGGACACTGTAAAGAGAAGTCACCGCTCCCCAGCGACGCCTGGGGCCCTTGGGAGGGAGGCTTTCCTGGGGGAGTCCCTTCCTGCCCAAGGCTGCGAGGCCACAAAGCCTGAGAAGCCCGCGGTCTTAGTCCTTGACACCTGTTAGTGGAAAACCGAACAGGAACACCAGGACCTCTGGGATGGAAGCCACAGATGCTGGGTTCCAGTGAGTCTCTGCCCAAGAGAGGCTGGGGTCGACAGCTGCAGCTCTCGGTGGTTCCTGGCCTGGCCTACATGGAAGAGTGCACTGCTGTGAGCTGTCCCCTGGCCCCCCTCCCCTCTTCTCCCTCTGCCAGCCTAGCCTGCACCTGGGCAGCCGACCCAAGAGGGAACATTGCCACTTCCGGTCAGGAAGGGCTGCTTCACTCAGTTCCACAGACAGACAGCTAGAAAGAATGTCCGACAGACAGACAAAGAACCAGCCAGACAACCAGACAGCCAGACAGAGACAGTGAGCCAGACAACAGACAGCCAGACAGACAGACAGCCAGTCACACAACCAGCCAGACAGAAAGACAGGCAGCCGGCCAGCCAGCCAGCCAGCCAGACAGCCACACAGACAGAAAGACAGACAGATAGACAGACAGACAGACAGCCACACAGACAGACAGACAGACAGCCACACAGACAGAAAGACAGACAGACAGCCACACAGACAGAAAGACAGCCAGACAGACAGCCACACAGACAGACAGACAGATAGACAGCCAGACAGACAGCCACACAGAAAGACAGACAGGCCGACTGCAGCAGCTTCTCATCTGGAAAGCAAGAATACCTTGCTGAAGCTTCCTGGCCAGTGGTCATCGCTCAGTCTCACCCAGCAGTGAGGATGTCAGGTGACCTCTCCTTCCCACTCACACTGTGGAAAGGACTTGGGGAGAAACATAGAGCAGACTGGGAGTTCCTGCTTTAGGACCCCCGGTGGCCTGGAGAAGCTGGATTCTGTCTCTTTCCTGGAGCCAGACCTGTACTCAGGGGCACTGCCTTCCTCCATTCCAGAATATACCCTTCTTAATATTTTAATACTTTAAAATTGGGATGCACTTGGTACATCTCTTCACATTTTGTTTTCTTTCATAGTAGGTAAAATGATGGTGCATCTAATAATTAATAGCATCATGGATTCAATGAGGTATGACAGATAGGCAAGGCAGCCATGGAGAGAAGCTTTTCTGAGATGTGAACAAGTAGGACATGCACTGTGGTGAAATCCCAGGTGGCCCAGATCTCAGGTGTCAGATCTGAAGCGTTCCCAGAGTCCCAAAAGGTACCATCACACTCAGTTCTGCTGCTATAACAAAATGTCACAGAAGGGTGCTTTGTTGTTTTTGGTGCTGGGGATTTAATCCAGGGATGCTCTACCATTGAGTCACATCCCCAGCCCTTTTATTTTTTATTTTGAGACAAGGTCTCACTAAGTTACTTAGGGCCTCTCTAAGTTGCTGAGGCCAGCCTTGAACTTGTGATCCTCCTGGCTCAGACTCTAGAGTTGCTGGGATTACAAGCGTGCGCCACCACACTCAGGAGACTGGGAAGTTTAAACAACAGACATTTATTTCTCACAATTCTGGAGGCTGCAGAGTCCAGGATAAAGGCACTGGCAGGTTTGTTCTTGATGAGGGAGCCATCCAGTGGGCTTTCTCACCTGCAGATGACCATCTTCTCCCAGCAAGCTCTCTGGTCTTTTCCCATAGGGCACTGGTCTATCATGAGGGCTCTCGACCTGACCACCTCCCAGAGGGCCACCTCTAGTGACCACCACGTCAGGGACCAGTGCTGCAGGCATAGATTCAGTCCACAGCACAGACTGCAGCCATCACCGGGATGGGTGACAGGTTTCCTGCATCAATTCTGATTGAACGCAGCATGCACAGTGGTGGGGTGGTTCCTGTCCATGCCTTGCCAAGGAGGGTCATTTTTGAGGTGCCACAAAACATACAACCTTGGCCCTTCTCAGGTCAATAATTTCTACCAACGACTTTAACAAAGGTATCTTGCAGTTGCTTATCTAATGATTTATGGCTTCTTCAAAGCACAGTGGAAAACGATTCCCACTGAATGAAATCCACAATGTGGCACTTAACTGAATCAAATGGGTTTTCATTTGTGTTCAAAGAATCAATGGCATGTGTGTCAGAAGGTGCAGGAGGGCACAGGACCGACCCTGGTGAGCAAGGTCTTGTTCAGCATCACGTCTGTGTGAAACGGGAGTGGAAGAGAGCGTGAGAATGGGTAGGCAATGAAATCGCAATCCAGGATGTGTTTTGATCTTAATACATCGACTTTACTGGACTCTGGACACAGAAGGACTGTGTACAGCAGTTTCTGGGCTTGGGCACTGTTGACCCACTGGAGAGCTGCTACGGGTGGGACAATTGGTAATGACAGGTGAAGCTCTCTTCAGAGCTGATTGCCAAGCACTGACACTCACTTGTACTGAGAACTTCATTTGGGGACTAATCAAAACCCCAGTGGTGACCGCCTAAGCAATCACACTCGCTCTCCAGAAAACAAGAAAGGAGAGGGGGAAAGGGTGTGCCTCCTGAGCCTGCCCTCTTTAAGAGGCTCCTTAAAAATATCACCAATAGCTTCCAGTTACTTCTCATCAATGACTCAATAATAAGACAGGCCAGGGAGTGTGGTTTTCTTAA